AGTTAATGTAGTTAATTAATAATAATAAATGAATAATTTTGTTTGTCGGTTTTTTTTTTTTTTTTTTTTTTTTTTTTTTTTTTTTTTTTTTTTTTTTTTTTTTTTTTTTTTTTTATTATTATTATTATTATTATTATTATTATTATTATTTTATCTGGAGAAAAAAAAAAAAATAAAAAATAAAAACTGACATTTGTAGATTATTATTTATTTATTATTTATTTTATTTCAATATATTGCTAAAAAAGAAAAAAAAAATCTTTGAATCATTCATATATATATATATTATTTACTTCTTTCATAAGTTATGAAACATTTAATGTAAATTTTCATAAATACTATTTAAACAAGTATTATTCATTTCAGTTGCATGTCTTTTTTTATTATAATTTTTTTTTTTTACTATTATTTTATTTTTTTTTTTTGTTTTTGTTTTTGTTTTTTTTTTTTTTTGTGATAAAGTTATTTAATTTAAAACAAATTACCATGTTAAATGAGCTTTTTTTAATTACATTATTACTTTTGAAATTGTATTAAAAAATGACCCATCAATAAATATTTATGATTATGATTTAAAACCAAAATTCATCCATTAATTTTTATCCAAAAATTTATTGTTTGACTGTATATATTTTCTATTAATTGCTTGTTTTTATTCTACTTTCTTCGTCTCTTCATTTGTATTTTCAATTCCTCTTAATTTTTCCTTGCTCAACTCGGCTACATCACCTTTTTCTGTAATATCTTCTTTTACATTAACTTCATTTATTCTTTCTTTAAACTGTCCTTTTTCTATACTCTCTTCCTCATTATCTTTTACAGACTCTTCACTTACCACTTTAATATTATTAATATCTCCTTCCCCGAAAATGTTTTCGACATTCGCTTCGCTTTTTTCCTTGATCTCTTTTTCATCAATATCCCCCTCACTTTCCACATTTATATGTTTTTCTTTTATCAAATTATCTATTTGAATTACCTCAAAATCTTCCTTTAACTTTGTCTCCAAGTTCTCTTCACTTATATCCTTCTCTCGGTCATTCTCTGTTCCTTCCTCCTTGATATTACTTTTCACCTCAAGTAAGTTTTCAACACCTTCAGAAATATTTTCGCCCACCTCAATCATTTTATTCTCAACATTATCTTCCTTCTTTTTCTTGATCATCTTTTCCACATTCTCCTCCTTTTCCTCAATCGAATTATCTTCAACATCGTAATCTCTTTTTTTATTAAGGATCTTTTTAACGTCTTGTTCAC